TGAATACTTCTAGTTCATAAACTTTTCAGTCGTTGTGTAGTGTACAGTTTATTCTAATTTATATATTGTATATTCTGATGTTTGGCTCATATCCTGGTTACATGTTTCTATATATAATGAAAGTTATTGGTGATCAGATTTCAAGGTGTGCTCAAGCTCCAAACTGAATAAAATATTTAATAGAAGGAAAATGATCAATCAGCACAACTGCACTGAAAAAAAAAAAACATTGATCAAGTTATCTATTAACAATTAAGTGGATTGATCATAAAACAATAAAGTTGTTGCCCCAAAATATCTTAAGAATTGTGTTTCAGCTCATTTTAAATGTCATTTGAACAAGCAGCAAAAATATTGTGTGTCTGTGTGTCATTTTGTTTTTATCACTAAGAAAAGCGAAAAACAAATTCTTAGTTACTGAAAAATTAGATTTAAGACTAGAGTAAGGATGCTGATGTTTCAGCTTTTCCTGCAGGAATAAATTACATTATTACATTTTATATTAGTTACATTTCACATTTTTGATCAAATAAATACAGCTTTTGGTGAACAAGTTTTTTTTTTTCTTAAAGACATTTAAACACCATCTAAAAATTCAGTCTCTAATCTCTAATTTTGAGCCTACTGTAACACCATTTTGAAATTTGAAGCTTCCTAACTGTTGGAAGTATTAGAAAGAATCAGATTTAAGATTATAGAGCACTGTGCTGAATGAGCTGAATGAGCACTGTGCTGCGTCCGACAGATTGCACTATTATGTTTGTCTCTTTTTCATTCTTTTATCACATTTTACCTGTTTTTTTTTTTTACTCATTTTTATTATTTGTTTTTATTTTTATTTTACTTGTTCCTTTTATTCTTGTTTATGTAAAGCACTTTGAATTGCCACTGTGTATGAAATGTGCTATATAAATAAACTTGCCTTGCCTAGAGTAATGATGCTGATCAGCTTTTCCATCACTTGAATAAATGACATTTTGAATGAGATCTATTACGCAATAATTACGATTTATGGTATTTTGATCAAATCAATACAGCTATGTTGAACAAGCCCCCCACCCCCCGCCATATCATTTAAATATTGTGACATTTTATTTTGTAATTTTTAAGTTAACAGCAATTTTCGCTCAGCAGAAAATAGTCCCATAAGTTCATCATCATGAGTGTAAATAAACACAATTTCCATTTCAAGATCAAAACAAAGCATTTCACGGCGAGTGTCTAAAACAGTTGCTTTATTGTGTAAAAAAACAAAACAAAACAAAAACCAGCGCGTCTGATGAGCAGCAGCAGGCTGAAGGATCCGATTCTGACATGCAGCATGAGGAGAAACACACAATGCCGTTGATTTAAGGCACTAATTCAGTTCATGATCTGATACGGCTGAATCGCTGGAGGAAATCAGAAGGATGTTTACCTGTATTCCAATTAGCCGGCTTTAAGAAATGACCAAAAACTGTTCGTACAACGCTCCGTTTCCCTTTAAAACCCGGCCGTTCACAGTGGTCAGTACTTTCCTCATTATTATATATCCCAGATAATAAATACAGTACACTATTAATAGAGCGATGGATTGAGGCACATCATAGAGTCTGAGAAGACCAGCGTTGGGCTCAGAACATCAGAAACCGTGGCTGTTAGCCAATAAATTAACAGCAAAGACAGGCGAGAAGATGCACATATGAGCTGTGTGTGTTTGAAGACTGATACACATGAGAGAGAAACAGATACATGTGAGGAACGCCAGCGTACTTGTGATGCTATGCTATTATGTACATGTGCTATATTTACAATCGTGGTCTTAACTATTGGTGCACTTGGTAAATATGAGCAAAATAATTGGGGAAAATTAATTACTTTTTTAAATTTAGCACTTAATGGCTTTTCTTTTGGGTCGCTTTAGACTAAAGAGTCTGGTTACGAAATAAGTGGTTTCTCCAATACACAGTGGCCAATATAAAAATTCTCATGAGTGAAATATCTTGATCATTTCAATGATTTTTTTTCTTTGCATGCATTAAACGACTCTTCTTGTTGGCAGGAAAAGGCGGTTCTGCATCACCCTTCAATTGAGCTGTTCTTTGTGAAGAATATGCCGGATTGTGGAACCATGTAGGATGACATTATTAGCAGCAAGGTGTTCCTGGAGCTCTTTGGAGGTGGTCTGTGGTTTGTCTGTGACCATGCTAATCATTTTTTGCCTTTCAGACATTTTTCTTGGTCTAGCACATCTTTCCTCTACAAGAACTGTTCCTGTGGCCTTCCATTTACTTACTATATTTCTGAATGTGGAGATACTTTAAACCTTTGTGATAGCTTTTTGTATCCTTCTCCTAATTCATGTTGGTAAATTATCCTAGTTTTAGGTCATCAGAAAGATATTTTGAAGTTCCCATGTTGCTACTTTCAGGTTAACAATAAGGAGAAGCACAACTAGCAATCAGCTATTTTAAATATCCCTTTTCATGACTGGTTGCACTTGCAATGTGGTTGTTAAGGTTCACTGAGTCTCTCAAATCAGTTTTGTGTTGCAATCAATCAGCATTAAGTGACTACAGGTTTTGAAATCCAAACAAAAGAAAGGGTGCCCAAACTTCTACACAGCCTATTTTTCAGTTTCAATTTTTCACACATCTCAATACTGCTACACTACGTATTTCTGTCTGAAAAACATGACACTATCTAGCTTTCTGTTAAAACCGAATGGCAGTTCACTGCAATCGTCTCTTGTAAAGAACGAACACATTAATATTCAGCCACAGAGGGGTGTCCAAATTTTTGCATAAGACTCTATATATAAACTGGGGAAGCAGTTAAAGTTCCCACAGCACAGGGTAACAACATCACTCCGACCAGATGTAATTAGCATTTCTGAGGCGACAAGACAATTGATTCTGCTTGAACTCACATCACCCTGGGAAGAGCGAATGGAGGAGGGAAATGAAAGGAAATGCTCAAAGTACCAGGATCTAGTAGAGAAGTGCCAAGAAGGGGGCTAGAAGACCCTCTGTGAGCCAATAAATGTGGGCTGCAGAGGGTTTGCAGGGTGTTCACTCTGTAAAGTCTTCACCCAACCAGGCCTAGCAGTAGCAGCTGAGAAGAGGGCCATTAGGGCCGTTTGTGAAGCTGCAAAGAAAGCCACAAGATGGCTATTGATAAAAGGGCTGATCTGTGGGTGATGGTTATGGGGTCTGATCAACCTCAGCTGGGTCACCTGGGTGAGGGTGTCTGATGTTGAAAGACCTGAAACACCTAATGACCCGATGCATCTAGATCACAGGTGTCAAACTCAGTTCCTGGAGGGTGGCAGCTCTGCACAGTTAAAGGTGCAGTAGGTGATTTGCTAAAATGCTAACCGCTTAACATATTATCGTTGGTTGGCGGGGAATGACTGTGATTAAAATAGTGACTAAAATAGTTTTAAAACAGAACATTACCTGTCTAACAGTAATACTTTGGCTATGGTGTTGTCCTTCCAACGTGCAAAAGTAACTCAAATATTGATTTTGAGTTTCAAATCAGCATTTGACAATCTGTGATTGTCTCGTGAACGCGTGGCGCTCATGCAGATGGGCACGCGCGGATCTGCGTGAACAGATGCGCAGAAGTCCAAATCAACATTTGCTGACAGACAGTTTTAGCTACATATCGGAATTATGGGAGATGTCTGCCCGACAATATTTAATTGGATGAACATTTGTCAGTTTAATGCCTTATCCTGAATATAAAAATACATATACATATATTCAGATCATTTACTTTAAACATTACTATTGGACTGTGAAGAGACTTTAAACCAGCACGACAAAAAATGCTTCTGAAGACAATCACCTACTGCTCCTTTAAGTTCCAACCCTAATTAAACACATCAAACTAATTAAGTCCTTTAGGCTTGTTTGAAACCTACAGGTAAGTGAGTTGGAGCAGGGTTGGAACAAAACTGTGCAGGGCTGCGGAGTCTGACACCCCTGATCTAGATGATCATCTTGGACACTGTTGCAGGCTTATTTTTCTGAACATGTTGTTTAGATACCTAACTGCCTATGATAGACATCTTATGGTCTATGGTCATCTTCCATAATGACAATAATCCAAACAGTCATCATAAATGCTTCACTGAGAGTCAAAGTTAGGTTCTAACTATGGCCATCCCAGTGTCCTGACCTGAACCCTGTAGAAATATAAATAAATAATATAAATAAAATAAATGGATGAACTGATGATGAAAGAAACTCAGCCCATGTACCAGAGAACCTGAAGGATCTGGAGACTTATTGAGGATGTTTTTGTGCCTTTCCAGGTTTCCCCCAAGCTCACCAGGCATTATGAGAAGATTTAGATTAGCTTTATGTATTGAAAGCTTAGAAAAAGTATTAAATAAGTAAAGTTTATTCATAAACTAATTTCGAGAGGAGCATGTGATTATGATTGAACATGGCTGGTTAACCAATGCATGATTCACCAATCAAATGATTCCTAACTCACTATAAATAGCCAGGGTTTCTTACTACAGTTATCTTCACCTTGAAGAATCCTCCACCTTTCTGTTTATAGGGTGGCACGGTTGCCTAGTGGTCAACACTGTTGCCTCACAGCAAGAACATCACTGGTTTAAATCCTTAACAAGCCAGCTGTCGTTTCTGTGCAGTTTAAATGTTCTTCCAGTGCTCGTGTGGGTTTCCCCCGGGTTCTCCAGTTTCCTCCCACAATCCAAAAATGTGTTATAAGTAAATTGATCAATCTAAATCAGCAATATAGTTAAGCGCTTAGCCAGCATAATATCTCTACATAGCCATTTTAATCTGGCATCAGCTTTTAACAAAGGGGGAAGTTATCAAAACCTACCTGAGCTCAAACTCCCCTCTCGCCCTGCAAATGGGAGGGAGCCCCGGGCTCAAGGATCTTATGAGCTCAGGCCTCTCTTCCGGGATAGCATGCCAAACACGCATTATAATCAATAATCAGCTAAGTGTGAACTCTTGAAAAGGTTGCCAACAATGAATTTTTTCACTGTGTATTGGAGAAAAACATGGTCACACCTTACAATATGGGACATATAGTTAATGTTAGAATCATGAACTCATAATGAACAATACTTGCACAGCATTTATTAATCAGAGCTAAATATTTACTAATGCATTATTAAAATCCAACACTTAACATGTCAACTCTATTTTCATAAACTAACCGTAACAGAGATGAATAAAGACTGTTATAAATGTATTGGTCATTATTGGTTCATGTTAGTAAATAAATGAACTATGTGTCTATTGTTTAAACTATTGTAAAGTGTTACCAAACACATGTATTTCCTAATGATTTGTTGCACAGATTTTGATTGATTGGTTTTAGCTCAAGGACCTATTTCTGTTACTAAAAAGAGTTTAAAAATGCAGGTAGTTTTGCTCATATTTTCCAAGAGTGCCACTAATTTTGACCACAACCGTATTACGTGAAGAGCGACATTCAGGTCTGTCTGGCCTCCTGGTCTTCTTTAGAGTAGTCTGCACACGGATTGGTGAATGAAGAGTTCGCAGCCAATCAGGGAGAAGAACAAGTCATTGAGGTCACATCCTTTTCCGTAATTGGACTGTCGTCTCTGTTATCTCACAGTAAAGGTGGTTATTATAGGTCAGATGTGAACACACACACATACATGCTCACTTGATAGTTTTTCGTGTGTCTGGATCTCCTTCACAGTCACGATAGACTCAAACCTTTTGCTTTTTCCACATTTCTCCTGCAGTCCATACAGTAGTGCAGCATGTTGGTTTATCCAGTCTGGCGTGAGCAGCGTTGTGTGTTTGTGCACATGAGTTTTTAGAAGTCTATATCCCAGCCTGAGTTATCATCAGGCGGTGGGTCTTCGTTGTCCTCTGGAAAGCTGTCGAAGTTACTGGTGTCTGTGGATGAGGTTACCTGAATGTGCACAAAAAATAAAATCACGATTTTCTCATGATTCTGTAGCTGTAAAATAAAGGTTAATATGAGCGGGCTATTATTATTGCTATTTCCCAAACATAAAAACAACAATATTAAAGGGTCACGAAACACCAAAACACATTTATTGAGCTGTTGACAGTCGTATATGTGTCCCACACTGCTAAAAACACTATTAGGACACCTATATTTCACTAAAAAGTGTAAATTGGTAGTTTTTGCGTTATTTCAAGTAAATTCGTACTTCCTGTTTGAAACGAATTTTTGAAGCTGCGTCACGGCCATGACATAATAGCGTTGTATTCCAGCGTGCAGACTGGACGTCTGTGCCAGAGTGAGTCTTATTACGTCTTACAGTGTGATGCATTAATGCATGAGTAAGGCTTGGTTCAAACCAATCAGCGCGCTCTATTGTGCAACTTCATTAATATTCATTACTGTGTTTACACGACATAGACGCCACGTTGTGTTGGCAAAACAAGCGTGAAGTGTTGCTTTAATAGTTTGCTGCCGTTATGTTTCGTTTTCATTTTCTCTCTGTGAGAGCTCAGCTGGATCACGTGTGGATTAACAGTGTATGCGACGCTCGACAACAATAACTTACGTGTCTAAGGAGGATTATTGTTTACCTGAGAGCTGTACTCATCTGCAAACGCTGAGATCGGATTCGCTTGTAGTCTCCTCTTAATAAAGACGCGGCTCTAGTTGCTGGTGATTGTCCTGTCTCTACAGATTTGGTAAGTGAGCGACCAACGCTCTTTGTTTATTCAGTTTGATCGTATCGAACTAAGTTAACTATTGCACCGAGTGTAAACATGTTAGGACCACAACCAAACTTTAACCTCGTGTAGGATTTTCACCGCATTTTGTGACCGGAATAACACACACGGCTTTCTGACGATACCTGCTGTGTGCATCTAAGTTTCCGGAAAATGCTGAGGGTTTTTTTCTCTCATTCGCCGTGCGGTATCAAACATTGCATAAAAAATACACGCTTAGAGCAGTTCCTCGAATCAAATATCTCGTTTGTCGCGAGGGGCATGAATGAATTCCCTAAATGAAAGAGCCAAACTGCAGTTAAAGTCCACCATTTAATAATGGCACTTCCCCCTAAACAGAGCTGGACACGCCCACTTTTCTGACTTTTTCCAAAGTAGAGGTGTGAAAACACCCTGCTGAAACGAGGGGGTTTCATGGCCCTTTAATAGTAAATGTAGGTCTACTGTTGGTAAAATGCTCAATTTTGTATAGACTTTGAATGGTGGACTTGAACAGGCTTAAAATTTGTCCTGGTTTTTCATTGACAGTAAAGTGATTAGGTCAGAATGTAACTATTGATAATTCTGAAGTTGAATTATTATAATTTTTTCACTGGTAAAATGAGAGATTTGTCATTATCAGATTCCCTCTCGCATTATATTCAGCATTATATAGGCCAGAGTAGTTATACTGACACTGTTAAACATTTATTTTTATGCACACTTTTGCGTTCGCTATGAAAGATAAAACATATCAAATGCTTGTCATAATCATAACTTTACAATGTTATATGATCATTTAAAGGAGGTGCGTGCCGGTCATGTCATGACTGCCGTCACTCTGAGGGAAAAAAAAAAAAAACATACATGCAAATCATACTTCCGGTGCAACTCCCAAATTATCACTCTGTGCAAGAAACTGAACGTTATTTATCTCTTCATTACCTGTTATTCACAGCCTATGCAGGTTCTGTTCACTAAAGTAGACATCATTTGCGGGCACGCGCGCATCCTCTCAGGCCCCGTTTACACTAATGCGTTTTCGTTTTAAAACGCATAAGTTTTGCTACGGTTACGCCATCCATCCACACTACGCCGGAGTTCTCGAGCGCCGAAAATGGAGCGTTTTGGAAACGCTGGAGAGGCCGTTTTCATTCTAAAACGCTGCTGCTCTGACATCTGAAAACGGAGGCGGGGCTGCCGACGTTCGCCTATCTGATTGGGGCTTTTCCTCAATATTAAGTAGCCCACACACAGTTCAGTCTCGCATCCTCTTCTTGTAAGTTCAGACTTCTCAAGTTTGATCAAGGCTGCAGTCTCCCCCTTCTCAGTTTAATATGGAAAACATACCGAGGACACGGGTAAATCTTCAAAGGGAACAGTGTACTTTATAACTTCATTCACATCACCTTGGCTACGTTGTTTCACTTTCTCAACAATAAAATGTAAACATGATTTAAGGAACTGCCTATTTTGATTTTAATATCAGCAACTTAACAGACAGCAGAAATGTTGAGGCGTCGTGCTGTATAATATGAGCGTCATCTTCACTGTGTGGATATTTATAACAAAACGGAGCCTACTACTGCCTCTTTTCAATTTCAGTGAAAATACGAAACACACCCTCTCTTTTGCTGAATATCAGTTTTAATCATCGATAATGGCCATTATAAAAGTATAACATACAATAAGTTTATACATTGTAGGAAATAAAGGCAAGCAATCAGTCAATTTACCTGGATTAATCATTAACTTATCTTTGCGCTTAACCAAAACACGTTACCTGTGAACAAGTAATAGATTCCAATGACCAAAGTCAGGGAATAGGCCTATGTCGTTAGATAAAGACAACAACATGAATGAAATATCACGTTTAGCAAATATAGCGAGATTAGATCCAGCGGGAGATGCTTGATGAGCAGTCCGACAAGCAGAGCTCTCATCTGGGTAGAAGTGCTGCAGCGCTTGCCCGAGAGTGTGTGTGTGGTCACGTGATGTGCGTTTTCAGCGTTTTGGTGTGTACTGAGAGCAGTTCAGAAACGCTGGGTAAAACGTAAGTGTGGACGCGGATCGCTTTCATTCTAAAACGCCGTTTTAAAACTAAAACACACTAGTGTAAATGGGGCCTGCAGAAGTAAACAGCTCACATGTGATTTTGCGGCCGCGAATACTTCATTACATTAAGACAGAAATTAGTGGGTGAATTATACCGGACAGAATCTGCAGGCATTTTTTGCTATTTCTGCAGAGAATTTTGTTAAAAATCTGCAGATTTATGCGTAATTATTTTTGGAGAATCAAAACTAAAAACTTAATTTATAAAATAAAAAATAATACATTTTAAACTTTTTTTCAAATGTTTACAATGCAAATCCAATTAGATCCACTTTATTTGGTAAACAAAGCAAGTCTCTCGTATAATATACCCACTAAAAGACAGAAAATATGTGTTGTGAAAAAAATGTATAGTGCATAAATCATCTGAATATTTTCATATTAGTCAATAATATTACTAAATTAATTTAAAAACTGAATAAATATACATTTACACACATTTACACAAGTAAATAAACAAAATCAACGATGGGCTAAAAATCTGCGGAATTCTCCGCGCGCAGTTTCCGTGTGGGCCTACTTATGACTGAGTCACTCAGTTTCAACAAGAAGAGGCAATGCACACAGGAAGTTCTAGCTATACAAAGCAACTGTTAGTGCTCAGAGAATTAAGTGCTAGAGTTTTGAGGGGGGATATAAAGAGAGAAGAGTGTTTCTAAAGGTGGTTTGTCAAGCCCACTCACCTGTGTGAAGCACACTTCTAATCCATTAACACTCCTAAAGCTTGCACAATCAAAATGGCTATCTAGATCGGTTGTTTGTTTGTTTGTTTGTTTGTATAAATGCAATTAAAAGTCTGATGATTGATCTGGTTAGTCTACAGTTTACAGAGCACTTACATTAGGGATGATGGGGGGCATCAGCGTCCCCTTCCTCAGTCCGTCCCAGTTAAACCCTTCAAACCATCTGCAGACACGTTCATTACACAGGATTAAAACAGGAGCATGAATAATGAACTGATATCTGTATGACTAAAGTGAATATCAGGCTCACTTGTGCTTTTGGATGTCTTTGACACCGTTTTTCAAGTTTCCTAATCTTTCAGAAGGAGTGTCTCTGGGAAGAAGAAGAAATAAAGCACAAATCTGCATTGGCAATCGCTGCTGACAGACAGAAATGTGTTTCTACAGCACAGCTGATTTACCTGCATAGCTTTTTGATGAGATTGGCAGCATTTTTGGTTATTTTCTTGGGGAATTCAATCATATCGATGCCTCTAAGGATGATGTTGTATGTTTTCATTGGATCTGGTCCTGAAAAAGGAGGACTGAGGGGAAAACAGAGGTATTGTTTATTCTTTAGTAATATTGAGTAAGTGTTATAATCTGTGAAGTGCTGTGTTTCACCTGCCGGTCAACAGCTCATACATGAGGATACCGAGAGACCAGTAATCCGCAGAGATGTCGTGTCCTTTATTCAGGATGATCTCTGGAGCCACATACTCTGGAGTACCACAGAATGTCCATGTCTTCTTCCCAAAGCCGATCTTTTTAGCAAAGCCAAAATCCACCTTTAAAAGATTTAAGATTGTGATAGTTGAGTGAGCAGACAGTGATTCTTTAAAGTGGTCGTGCACACCACGGTTCCAATCCCATGCTACTAACCTGTTTTATACAATCCCATTTTACAAAAATTAGTTTTATTTTTTTACAAAACAAAGAAAAAAGAAAGGTGATATTTCTCTAATCTTTTTTTTTATTCCACAGAAGAAAATCATATCACTTTGAAACAATAAATATATTCTCATTTTTGGGTGAATGTTTAAATAGAAAAGCATGAAGTTTCCCTAGTCATGAAAGCAGACTTTTGGTTTACATTCACACATACACTACCTGACAAAAGTCTTGTCGCCTGTCCAAGTTTTACAAACAACAAATAATAACTTGACTTCTAGTGCATCATTTGGTATCAGAAGTGGCTTATATGAAAGACAAAGGCCTCTAGATTACACTTATTTTACCAAAAGAAAATATGATCATGCCTTGATTTTTAATTATTCAATTAGGACAGGAAGGTCTGACTTTGCTTAGACTAAAGTCTTGTCAATAAACAGAAATAATGTACAGTGTAGAATATAAAGTCATGGTACAGTGGAAGAAGAATTAAAATTGTATGACTCCCATGAGCTTCTACAGTAACTCAAATAACTTATTAATAAAGTCATCTGGAATGGCAAAGAAAGCGTTCTTGCAGGACTCCCAGAGTTCATCAAGATTGTTTGAATTCATTTTTAATGCCTCCTCTTTCATCTTACCCCAGACATGCTCAATAATGTTCATGTCTGGTGACTGGGCTGGCCAATCCTAAAGCACCGTGACCTTCTTTGCTTTCAGAAACTTTGATGTGGAGGCTGAGCTATGAGGAGCTCTATCCTGCTGAAGAATTTGCCCTCTCCTGTGGTTTGTAATGTAATGGGCAGCACACTTGTCTTGATACCGCAGGCTGTTGATGTTGCCATCCCTTCTGCAGATCTCTCGCACACCCCCCATACTGAATGTATCCCCAAACCATGGTTTTTCCTTCACCAAACTTGACTGATTTCTGTAAGAATCTTGGGTCCATGCGGGTTCCAAAAGGTCTTCTGCAGTGATGATTGGGATGCAGTTCAACAGATGATTCATCGGAAAAATCTACCTTCTGCCACCTTTCCATATGATCATCTAGAAGTCTCTAAGAAGCTCTGTCAGTGCCAGTAATGTAGTGGTTAGTGCATCATCACATGCACTTTGGTGCTCAAGGCAACCTGTGTTTGATTCCCGCCTTGTAGTTTTTATGCCGATCTTTCCCATCTTTCTGCTCCACATGCTTTCCTGTCAACTTAATTAACAAAAAACTGCACATATCTCCTATTTTTCTTCTAAAAATATTCTTCAATTTTCATAAAAGACCCTGATATTTTAATATTTTATAATACATTCACATTCATACTCCTTAAAATGTATCTTCAGTCTCAAACTATATTAAGAAGCATCAGAGAAGCACAGTGTTCTGGGTTATTTTTGTCTTTCCACTGTCCTGAGTGTGTGTCAGTATTGGATGTTTTGGGTTGTTCTGTCCTCACCAGCTTGGCGTATCCTCTGTGGTCCAGTATCAGGTTCTCTGGTTTGAGGTCTCTGTATATGATGCCTTTGGAATGTAGATAAGCGAAGGCCTCCACCACACACGCTGTGTAAAATCGCGTTGTTGAATCGTCAAAGTTTCCCCTTTATTAGGAAACACACATATGTTATGTTGCGGAAATATCAAGTGTATGAGAAAACAAAAATAATAAAAAAAACGTATATAATCCTCACCGGTCTCTCAGGATTGTCCATAGTTCTCCACCTAAACAGGCCTCCATCAGCATATAGAGGTATTTACTGTCCTTAAATGTGCGGTAGAGTCTAGAATGAACAAAAGAAACACAGTTTGAATCAAGTTTTCCGATGCCAAAGCAAAAGCTTCACACTTGATAAAAACAGTCTGCAGAAACACTTTGATTGACATTGGCACTTTGATATATGTGTCATCAAAGTGGGAAAGCCCTGTCCATTAGTGACAATCTCTCCCTCATAAGCATAGACAGCCCTAAGTGAGAAGCAACCATTTTGACTCTGCTGCTATCATAATAGACATTTGAAGCTCTAACCTATTTTTAAAAGACAATCTCATTTGAATTTAAAGCGACAGTCACCAAAATGGCACAATAAGGATCAAAGCCTAAAAGGGTCAATTTCAAAGAGCTATAAAACATTATTTGTTGGGTAGTTTGAGATGAAACGTCAGATACACACTTTAGGGACATCAGAGACTTATTTTACATCTTGTAAAAAGGGGCAAAAAAGGTCCCCTTTGACTAGTTCTTCATTAATTAATAGGGCTAAATCTAGTACCATTGATGCATGGCAATGTTTTTCTTCCAACATTTTAGACTATACAAAGGAATGACCATATAAAGATTTTCTCCCTCTCTTCTTTCAGATTGAAAATTTGTGGAAATGTCTGTTGCTCCTCCTTTGCTGTTTGTTGGTCTATGTTAATCTAAAGACAATGAAACATTGATCAAATAACAAAATGAGTTCTTCATGAATTCTAAAATGTTAATAAATTGTTAATCCTAAAATTAATTCTGTTTCATTACTTGATATGAGCAAGTCAATGTTAGTTTTCTTTTTCTTCTTCTTCTTTAAGAATTATTAAAACTTCTTATAACAAAAGTAACACTTAATTATACAATTCCATTCCATGTTATGTTAATATTTTTTGTTTGTAGCCTTTTAAGTTATTGTTCATTTTAACAGATTTTTGTGATCATTATTTATTCATTCATTCATTCACTTTCTTGTCGACTTAGTCCCTTTATTAATCCGGGGTTGCCACAGCCGAATGAACCGCCAACTTATCGAGCAAGTTTTTACCCAGCGTATGCCCTTCCAGCCGCAACCCATCTCTGGGAAACATCCACACACACATTCACACACTCATACACTACGGACAATCTAGCCTACCCAATTCATCTGTACCGCATGTCATTGGACTATGGGGGAAACTGGAGCACCCGGAGGAAACCCACACGAATGCAGGGAGAACATGCAAACTCCACACAGAAACGTCAACTGAGCCGAGGCTCGAACCAGCAACCTTCCTGCTGTGAGGCAACAGCACTACCTACTGCGCCACTGCTTTGCCCATTATTATTTATAATTTCGTTATTTCTGTAAATATTATTTGAAGGACCTGAACTAACATTGATAATCTAATATTTAGCTAACAACTAACATTTGTATTTTTCATTCATTCATTCATCCATTCATTCATCCTCCTTTAGCTTAGTCCCTTATTTATCAAGGGCTGCCACAGCGGAATGAACTGCCAACTTTTCCTGCATTTGTTTCATGCAGCAGACCTTCCAGCCCAAAACCCAGTACTACGAAAAATCGATACACTCTCACATTCACACACACACAAACACTACAGCCAATTTAGTTAATCTAATTCACCTATACCTCATGTCTTTGCCAACATGGAGAGAACATGCAAACTCCACACAGAAATGCCAACTGACCCAGCTGGAACTCGACCCAGCGACCTTGCTGTGAGGCAACAGTGATAACCACTGAACCACCGTGTCACCCGTTTGTATTTTTATTATTTACAAAATATTGTTCACACTTTCACAATAAGGTTTTATAAGTTCATGCATTTACTAACTAATTATGAACCATACTTGTAAAGCATTTATTAATCATAGTTTAATGTAAAGTGTTAATCAAAATATTTGAATAAAGAATGATTTACTTCAGTGGAATGGTATGAAACTTGATGAATTAGATATTTGGTTCTACAAAATATAATGGAAATTAATGAGAAAATTGTTTTATCTAGAGGAAATATTTAGCACTGTATTTATACAAACTAGAAAAATTAAAATTAAAATAGAGAATTTTAAAATCAAAAACTTTTAAAAATAACTAAATTAGTAAATTGCATATTAACAAAATGAAATAAAAAACGTAATTCAAACTGTAGTAGTACTGTCTATAAATGCTGTGAAAATAAAGAGTGTAGTTTACGCCACCTGACTATAAAATCTGAATGTGCCTCCTGCATGATGAGCTTCTCGGAGCGGATGTGCTCCTGCTGTCTCGTGTCCACAATGTGACGCTTCTTCAGGATCTTCATCGCAAACGTCTTCATTTCATCACTCTTCAGCTGAACCTGACAACAAAAGATTAAACTTATTGAATAGTTTAAGATTTTAGAGTCACAATAAAATCAAAGTATTTAATGCAATTTACATGATGAAGAAGTATTGCACTGAAAATAAAATGTTACCAGTTCCACACGTCCAAATCCTCCAACTCCAAGAGTGTCGATGATGTTAAAGTCAGACAGGTTCAGATTGGAGAAAAAGGCATTTTCTGCCTCGTATCTGCATTTCACAAAACAGAAAAACCCACAGAAATGATTCCCTTTACTTTCTAGTGGGACAGATTGATTGTTCATTAAAAAACATTAAGGTCCCTATCATACACCCAGTGCATTAAGGCACAAGATGTGTAAGTCACGATTTGTTGCTATTTTCAGACCATTATCGTTATTTGGATTATTTATTAAAATTAGAACTAAATTTAGAAATAGTTTTGAAACAAATCTTTGTGCTTAACAAACTAAATTAAATATGTAGGCTTATGGATGTCTTCAGTGGAGTGCATACAACACTGTTTCCTTATCTATGAAAGTAAAGAGTAAAAGTAAAGAGGCCGAATGGAGGAGGCTCGTTCTTTATCCTCGCGCTGCAGATGGTCTGTTTAACTGTTTTCTCACTAGTGAAGCTTTCAATTTTGACACTTAGAAACTCTGCCATGTAAATAGCAAATGCGCCATGACAAGATGCAACTGACTCTTAAAGGGAATGAGAGATGATACTCTGGTTTAATGCATGTTATGCTTAAAACACACCCATAACTCATTGCGAGAATAAGCACAAACCTGAGCGTATTTTTCCTGTTCTAAAAAAAAAAAAAATCACAGTTTCACATTAGTATGATAACTGCTCTAAAAAAGTTCTTTTTACATGTCTGAGTAAAAAAAAAAAAAAAAACTAAAATTTTTTTTTTTAGAAAGATTTCAAATATTTTGGAGCAGTAAACATGTCAGGCTAAATATTTCAGACTTCTGCTGTCTTCATTAGTTTCAAAAACACAGATTTTAAAAAAAAAGTACCTTAGAATCTTACACGTACCTTAGGAACGGTTTTACAGAAAATGTTGGCAGTTTTACAACTTTGACTTTTCCAAAACGCGGTATACCTTAAAAACAGTTATTGTCTCATGGCTATGCCTGTCTCTTGATCGTGTGTAATCACTCTTTATTTTAATTTCAGTTTGATAATAAATTTAAGATTTTAATCTCATTATCAAAACAAAATAAATAAAATTAAAAAGCATCATTTATTTTTGTACTAATTGAGAAAGTGTAAAAAAAAAAAACATGAAATTCCTTGATGTTTTTTTATTTGGAGGTACACAATTTTTTGTGAAAGTGGGAATTAATGAATGTACAGGAGAGAAAAAAGGCAAATCATAAATTAGTATTTAAAAATAAAACCATCTTCAGATTAAAGTCCATTATATGATTTAAGATTAATGAAACTAAATGTTACTAAACACACGCCTGTAAAAATAAATGGAAAATTCCCAAGTGGTCTATTTTTCATTGTGCAATATAGTTTTAATGTTAATTACCGTATTTAAAATTACTTATTTATGTATCCTTAAGTTAAATTGTTCAAAGTGAATGTAATTCAGGTATATTTGAACTTAAAGAAACTCCAAAACTGAAAATACAAAAGGCCTAAAGCTCAACATTTTGCTAAATTTGTAGAATAAAATCATTAAATTATAGACTGAAGTCCTTATTATGGAAAAAAAAAATTATGGTTATTAATTTTTAATGGTTACTAAGTAATAATAATAATAATAATAGTGGTTTCTTTTATTATTATAGTTTTGCCCCAATCCTCCTCTGTATGAATGCCACATGTGATTATTTAGATAAATATGTTGAAGATCCTGATACATTTTTGGGTGGGCCAATTCAGCTTATTCAATTCACCTATACCACACATATTTGGACCATGGGGGAAACCCACGCAAACACAGGGAAAACTGCAAACTCATGGGGAGACCCAACAACCTTGCTAACCACTGAGCCATCGTGTCGCCAGGGGGTTTCAATTACATTAAATAAAAGTCGGTGAACATAAACCTCCTCCTGACTGTTAAAAGAAAGTTGATACTGAGCACAGCTCCTTCATTAGAGGTCAGAATACCACAGCAGCACAGTAACACTGCTAATAAAATGCTGCTCGTTGTCTGTTTGTAACCTGTGATACAGTCATCTTTTCCTCCAGTCAGAAAGCTTATTAAGACCTGTGATGACAAACTAGCCAATCGCATCCCTTCTCTTGTGCCGTGGCCAATGACACGACAGAGCAGTTATTTGTCTTGGCTCAGGCCGCTCTGCAGTGTCAGACAGAGGTGAAGGTTTTCCATGCACACTGCCAGAGCTCCTAAAAACCAGTACAGCTCACTTATTGCTCAATCCCTTTCACATTATCAGTTATTAGGCTGGCAGGGGCAGAGATGCCATGTTCAGCAGAGAAACAGAGGAATGCACAAACAACAGTTACACTTCACCCCTCTGTAGGGAAGGAGGTATGGATGCAAGCCAGAACTCAAGGATGAAGAGATGTTTAATGTCTCACGCTGGCTTCATAGCTGCTAGCTTCTACAGTAAATGCAAATCTAATAACATGCCGTTGCTATTTGAATAATATTAAAGGGATAGTTCACCCAAACAACAATAAATCCTATTAATATTATTCAAATAAAACCTAATCAAATAACCTAACATTGCTACTAGAATAATATTAAAGGGACAGTTCAGCCAAAAACAAAAATGCATTCACTGTGTAGTGTAACTAAGTGGTTACACATTTTTATGAGTTTCTTTCTTGCATTGAACGCTAAATATGAAATTTAAACCACACTGAACTAAACTAATCTGAAATCTGGACTTTACATGAACTTCTATGTTAGGCAGCTTTGACACAATTTACATTGTAAAGGTGCTGTATAAATAAACTTGAATTAAACTGAAAAAAAGAAGATATTTTGAAGAAAGCTGAAAACCTGTAACCATTGACTTCCATAATAGGAAAAATATCTACTATGGAAGTCAATGGTTACAGGTTTTCAACTTTTTTCAAATGATCTTCTTTTAAAAGAAGAAATAAATACATAAAGGTTTGAAACAAGTGAAGGATGAGTAAATCATGACAATAATGGTATTTGTGTGACTATCATAAGTAACTTATATTCAGTATTTATAAAACAAATAAACATTGCTGCATACAGTAATATGTTTATTTTATTATTATTATATTTTTTCAGGTTGCACTGTGCTGAATTTTTATTGCCAATCTTAAGCCAATTGTAATTGTTTGTTTTGGTTCAATTTGGAATTTCCCAAACCAATGCAGAGCGCTCTGACCTGGCCCCTCGATCCGTTATTATGTTTATACTAATTTTACATTCATTCATTTTCTTTTCCGGGGTCGCCACAGCGGAATGACCTGCCAATTTATCCAGCATATTTTTTTTACACAGCGGATGCCCTTTCAGCTGCAACCCATCTCTGGGAAACATCCAGAAACACTCATTCACACTCATACACTACGGACAATTTAGCCTACCCAATTCACCTGTACCACATGTCTTTGAACTGTGGGGGAAACCAGAGCAGCTGGAGGAAACCCACGTGAATGCGGGGAGAATATGCAACCTCCACACATAAACGCCAACTAACCCACCCGAGGCTCGAACCAGCGACCTTCTTGCCACTATCGTGTCACCTATACTAAATATATTCAAAAATAATAATAATAAAAAAAAAAATATATATATATATATATATATGTATATATATATACAGTTAAAGTCAGAATTATTAGCGCCCCTAAATTATTACCCCCCTGTTTATTTTTTTCCCCAATTTATGTTTAACTGAGAGCAGATTTTTCAGCACATTTCTAAACAATAGTTTTAATAACTAATTTCTAATAACTGATTTATTTTATTTTTGCCATGATGACAGTAATTAATATTTTTCTAGATAATTTTTCAAGACACTTCTATACAGCTTAAAGTGACATTTAAAGGCTTAACTAGGTTAATTAGTTTAACTAGGCAGGTTAGGGTAATTAGGCAAGTTATTGTATAACGATGGCTTGTTCAGTAGACTATCGAAAAAAAATATAGCTTAAAGGGGCTGAAAATTGTGTCCTTAAAATGTTTTTTAAAAAATTAAAAAGTATTTTATTCTAGCTGAAATAAAACAAATAAGACTTTCTCCAGAAAAAAAAAAATATTAACAGACATACTGTAGAAATGTCCTTGCTCTGTTAAACATTGTTTGGGAAATATTTAAAAGAAAAAAAATCAAAGGGGAGCTAATAACTCTGACTTCAACAGTATATATTTTTATATAACCGAATATTTATCTAACTCTCTCTCTCTCTCTCTCTCTCTCTCTCTCTCTCTCTCTCTCTCTATATATATATATATGTATGTAGGTATATATTATATTTTATTATATTAGTACATAACTCATTAGTACATCTCTTCAACAAAGACTCCAGTAGGACTGTCAAAATAAGGATTGTTTTGTTGTGCAATATATTGTCACAGAAAATGTTGCAATAAGTGATATTATTGTCATTTTGAGATCATTTTATACCACTGATTATATAATTATATAACAGCATAATAATGCAAATAGCCATAAACACTTTAAATATATATATTTTTATTTTTAATGTTATTTAGATTCTGTAATTTGATGTGAAAAGACTTCCTTCTTTGTGCTCATGCATACTGACACTAATGTGGGAAGCAAACAATATCCACAAATTTGACAATTCTGCAGGACAGTCAACTGATAATTTGCACCCCAGGGATGAGCAATATCATCTAAAAACTGTCAAATTACACCCTGCAGACTGTTGTTAAAGCATGTGTGACGTTCCTTCAGGCTCACAGTTCCTCTCAATTTATTCAAAGTGAACTGCAAAGGGAATCTGACAAACACAAGAGGGCAGTGTGGATCTTTAGGCGTTCTCGACCAGTTTTAAAGTTGCTTTGACTTCGGGTATACAGTGCTCCGCATTATTAAGTACACCCCATTATCCATTTCTCAGTGAATTTAGGCAATGTATTTTGGTGCATTTAAACAAAACAGATTTATTAAAAAGATATATTTATTAAAATGATATTTTATTCACCAAACCTTAGAAATCGAAAAATAATAAAATAAAAATAAATAAATAAAAAAACTTATAAACTTTTTTTTTCCATTTTGTGCTTCTCT